TGTAAAAATTACCACATGAGGGAGATTATTTCATTTGTAGTTATAAAGATTTTTGAGAGGAATTTTTAAGAAAAATACGAACTACAAAGAAATCTAAAGTTTCAATCCGAAAGTGATATTTGAAATATTTGGAGCACATAATAAGGGATAAGGCCTTTTGAGTCTAATACTAAAAGGACGTAGTGAAGACAATAGAAGTAGAAAGAAACAGCGACAAAGAAACTTAACGGGTTACCGTGAATGGATAGCAAATCAAGGGTGAAAGAGCGCTGGTTCAAAGTCAAAAATTATTTAGATCAACAAAAGAAAGAAATTATAAAGAGCCATGATATTTGTATCCGAAAGAAATATAACGTATCAGGGAAGAAAATAGCAAAGAACGCATTACTAAATTATTTGGAGTATCGGTTATTAACTTTTAGCTTTAAGCGCCACGACTATAATTATTTAAATCTTATTGTAGGACGAAATAATTAATATTGGCTTTAATTTGAAGACAAGAGATTCTTGGCTACAGAGATTCTGATTAATAGGCATTATAGACTTTACTCTCTATGTCAGTTTTATCTTCGAATATAACGACATCATGTCTCCCATCTTCCCCTTCCTTCCTATTGGCATCGTCGTCGCCAATATTGGTTTGATTCAATGTTTGTTATGCATAATCAGAAAGAAAACATCAACGATGCAAGAAAAATGAAATCTTTTGTTTTTCAAGGAACATAATTCATTTTTAGTGATGAAAAGATTCTTTTCTTCCCTTAAATATAAAAACTGTTTCTTTTTTTTTTTTTTTTTTTTTTCTCTGCAGCAAATATCGAAAAATAGACAAAATTCGCTTTGTAATTATTATAAAGAGAAGAGAAAATATTTCGCTGTTGTCTGTTATTGGTGCATTTTCTACAATGGCTGCCTTTTTAAACTTTTTTTTTGATTAATACTGTATTTATTTGCAATTACTGAAACTGTGTTTACATGAATGTTTTTGCCGTTGGTGGCGCGAGTAGTTTGTTATTTTCCATTAAAGGAAATATAATTGCATTTAGATTGCAGGAGAGTTTAGGAATTATTTAAACTAAAACAAAAAATAATAAAACAACAAATAAAATCGTATCCTGCATTGTTGTGTTCAAAATCAGCGAAAAACATTTAAGATGATCTGAAAGTAATGGTGAATTCATAACAAAAGTGTAAAATGTGTTGTAATATAATTAACTAAAATATTGATAAGGCTGGTGAAATTGTTAAACAAAATGAACTTTTGCGTCATACGAATAAAGCGAATAAAAGAAAGAATAAAAGAAAAACAGATGAATTTAGACATAAAACACACGTTGATTCTGTTTAGATTCTGAAACGGTATGGAATTGGATGTCTTTCTCTGTGTATGTCCACACACACACAAACACATACACACGCACATACACACGCACACAAATACATGTATATGAGGGAGGCAATTCGATTAAAGTCTGAATCTATTAATCACCATTTTATGATATTATCATTTACATATTTTTCTTCCATAAAAGTAATTTCAAACAATATTCTTTCTTTCTTTCTTTGCTTCTTTCTTTCTTTCTTTTCTTTCTTTGCTTCTTTCTTTCTTTCTTTCTTTCTTTCTTTCAGATTAGGTTTTTATTTATATGCCTGTCTGTATGTATGTCTATCTTTCTCAATTACTGGTAATTTTTCTATCTATCTATCTATCTATCTATCTATCTATCTATATCTATCTATCTATCTATCTATCCATCACACACACACACACACACACACACACACACACACAGACACACACATATATATATATATATATATATATATATATATATATATATATATATATATATATATTTACTTTTATCATGTCTTACTGAGAACATTAATCAACATACAAATGTTTTCATTATGTTTTGGTTCATAAAACCATTATTAATAAAACATAAACACACGCTATATATATATATATATATATATATATATATATATATATATATATATATATATATATATATATGTATGTATGTATGTATGTATGTATATATATATATATATATATATATATATATATATATATAGAGAGAGAGAGAGAGAGAGAGAGACAGACAGACAGACAGACAGACTGACAGACTGATTCATTTTCCACGGCTTATCAATCATTTGCAGATTATTTAAAGCCAGAATATATTTTTTTTAGATTTTAAGAATTTGTCGGTGGGGAGAAAATGGTTTAGTGATAGAAGTAATTAACCCATAGCTGGGGAAAGAAAAGTAGATTCATACGTTTCCCAAGTGTATTTGGAAGTAAGTGAATATAACGAACCCAACGGGAATTGAAACTCTGTAGTCTGGTTAACAATTCGGAGCCATTATCTATTATATAACCTACACATCCAAGCTTACAGCATTTGGTATTCCCAAGCGGTCAACCATGGAGCTACTAGCCAGAATCAATTTGGCACAATGTGATGTGGACCTAAGCTCTAGACAGAGACAGCCAGACAGCCATAGAGAGATAGAGAGACATATATATATATATATATATATATATATATATATATATATATATATATATATATACTGCCTGCCAAATTATTATCGAGATAACCTTTTTTCTAATATTTCAAAAACCGTCCAATCAATTCACACAAAATTTTCACACAATGTTGGCAACACTAACCTGCGTAATCACTAAAATTTTCGTACTGATATGCACAATGTAATCAAACTGGTGCCATATTTGTTATCAGCACGGTGCTTTGTGCGTGCCAAATTACTATACAAGTGTAACAATTTAATGAAAAGATGGGCCGTAAAAGAAGTTTAAGTGATGCTAAAAAGAAAACCATCACCTCAGAACACTCAAAAGGTAAATCTACCCAAGAAATTTCTAAAATGATAGGGAGGTGCCATCAAACAGTGAAAAAGTTCAATGCCGACCCTACACAAGTACGCAAAAGGGCAGATAAAGGCAAACCGAGGGTTATTTCACGTCGTCTCATGTCACGACTTAAACGAGAGGCCACGAAGAGCCCTGCACTTACCAGTCAAGAGCTTTTCAGTCGCATTGGGGATCCTACTGTGTCTAAAGTTTTGTTCACAGACGAAACTCGAGCAACACTTGATGGGCCAGATAGATGGTGCAAAGGCTGGGTAATGAACGGACAGAATCTCCATCGGCGTTTGAGACGCCAACAAAGCGGTGGAGGCATAATGATCTTGGGTATTATTGGAAAAACATTAGTGGGCCCATGGAGAGTACCAGATGGCGTCAAAATGACTGCTGATGCATACATAGCATTTATGAAGGAGCATCTTCAACCGTGGGTGAAAAGGCAAAGTGTTGCCTTCAGAAGGGCCATTGTTTTATGCAAGATAATGCTCCCTCACATGCTGCTCACAAGACGACTGAATATTTAAAACAGTTAAGCTTTGATGGACATCGAAAAATGAAGTGGCCAGAACCCAATCGAAAACCTTTGGAGCATCATGAAGCGAAGATTGTACGCCAACGGACGACAATTCAGGAGCAACGCTGAGTTGTGTGAAACAATTCTTGACATATGTCGCGGCATTACAGCAGATGACATCCTACAATTAACAAATTCTATGGATTGTCGACTTCTTCAAGCAATTTCAAAACAGGGAAAGCACATTCCCTATTATTTTGTTTAAAACTGTGCCTTTGTTTGTATCTGTTATTATTTGTTTGATTATCTTATTTATTAGCTTCTTTTGATCATAAACATTCACGTGCAACATTAATAAACGTTTTGTTTGCTCAATTCTGGGAATTTTACTAAACCTTTCTAATAATTTGGCACGGTCAAATCACTGTACTGATAACAAATATGGCACCGGTTTGTTTACATTGCGCAGATCAGTACGAAATTTTCAGTGATTGCTCAGGTCAGTATTGCCAACATTGTGTGAGAATTTTGTGTGAATTGATTGGACGGTTTTTAAAATATTAGAAAAGAAGTTATCTCGATAATAATTTGGCACGCAGTGTATAGTGATCCGGAATTCGTCTCCAAGAATACTCTTTTAATAGGGAGGCTGTGGGTTATATTGAAATATATGTTGAGTGGGCCTTAGTTACAGTTTCTGGGAGAGGCATTATCAACATTTGAACTGAGCCATTACGTTCAAACGCTCGGTCACGATGTCTTGTGCCTTCATTCTGGAACATTTATCGACTAATAGATCTGTTTGCCCAAATTTATACACAAGGCTTCGGTCATTTTCCAATGGTGTTGTATGCTGTGATAAATAAATAAACCAACGAATCTGCTATTTTAATTTAGGTTTTCACATTTGAGACAAATTTGAAACAAGCTCAGTTTGATGTGTATCCCGTGGGTGCTTTTCATGTGACTGTTTAGATAGTTTACTCTCCTACAATGTTAATGCAGGTATCATGGCGTATTCACAAGCAATGGGAGCTACTATTTGAGAAATTGATCTACAGGACTCGAAAATAATTTAAGCTGTTTTAAATTTATTTCTTGATTTGCTTGAAAACAAGAACAAGACAACTTTGGAGATGGCACTTACGTCTTTGGGAATGAACAGACGTTTTCGCAAATGGTCCTTGTAAAAATCGAGAAAATATTTTGGAAAGAAAAAAATGAGACAACGAATTAAGATATGAATGTTCTACGAATTTGTATAATCTACACTAAAGTATTTAACGATATAATTATCTACAGAAGATAAAAGTTATCTTTCATTCGAATGTAGCCATTCTGGCGAGCCGCATAGGTGATAGCGAAAATAACCAAAAAAAAAAAAATCGAATCATCGTGTTTAATTCATCAGAATTTCTGAGATAAAGAATTATTATTTGTGCGAACAAGCCTCCTCATCCTAATTGTTATAGCAACGACTATTTCAGCGTTGTACCTTCCCGAACTTCTCAATGTATAAATCAATGCATTGTAATATAGCCGCCATTTTCTTTAAAGACGTGGTATAGATAACCGCTTTCCACGGTTTTCGGCCATATAACGTTAAAACATAGGCTCCCGTACGTTTACCGAAGTTAAACAAGGTCGAACCTGATCAGTAGTTAGATGGGTGATCGCTTGGGAATACACCAGGTGCAGCAAATTTGGATGCACGGTTGGTGTAAAGCTTCAGAATTGTGAATCGAAGAACCGAGTTCCAATTCTAGTTGGGTTCGTTATATTCACTTACGCGCAAGGAAAGCGAATGGATCTACTTCTTCTCCCCCAACTATGGGTTAATTAATAAAACTTGTCTCAGGAAACTATTATTATTTCCAAAAATAAATTATACTTGTTCACAAAATATTTAGATTTAGATAACAATCAAATGGTTGATATGGCGTTGAACAAAAAAACAACCAATCAACTGCTTCTACAATTTCCTGTCTCTTCTGGCTCTAACTGACTTTTGCCCCTTTTCCAACCTCGATGTTTCCTTGTTTTGCTACCAAAGGTAAGTAGATGACACACCTTTCCCATCTGTTTATGTAGATTACGTGTGTGAAACTATTTAGTGGTAGTGAGATTAATCCCTGGGATAGGCTGTAATTTCTTTGATTGGAACAGCCAAAAACAATACCATCACAAAAAGGAATTTGCTGCGTCGAATTAGCTAATGCGAGTTATCTCCCTTAGCATGTAAACAGCCGACGAACACTCTATTCTCGTTCATTGAAGACAAGTTTGAATTGAAAATTTGAAGGTTTCCGAATAGAAAAACCATCCGATGATGCTTGGAAATTGTGCCAACTATATCATAGTCTAATATTTTTATTGTTTTAGAAGTTTTTGTTTAATAATCTGTTATAAGTCTAGTTTAAAATTAAAAGACAATGTGTGATTAAAAAAGGAATAGAGTTAATCATTGTTAATTTATGTTAATTGGAAACTGGAGATTAGAAAGGAAACGATTTCAAATGAATATGCGCAACACGTATTTTTGAATGTGCATAACAACTTACTTTCCAATGCAAATTGTTCGAATGTTTTATCTGGAATTTATTCCTCGTATTTTACACGTTAATTTTTACAACATCAGCTGCACAATGGCGTTATTATCTCAGTGTTATGATTTGGATTTGATTTTATTAAATTATTAAATATATTCGTTCGTTCTTTTTTCTGATGTCCTGCAAAGGATCTCAAAGAAACACTTTTGTTTTAAGTAAATCGCCCCAAGCAAGACAGAGTGCCATTTGCACGCAAGGGGTTACAGAGAGTGACAGAGAGTGGGAGTAAAGGGTAGTGTTTGGGGAAAAAAGATAGAGAGAAGGACAGGGATCAAGTTCAAGGCATCAAAAGATATCGATTGACATTTTAATATTTGAAGGTTATAGCTATGAGGGAATCAAGTGATAGGAAGGGTGTAGAAGAAATGGCTACATTTAGCCGTTTCGACAGTGAAAGGGAGGGACCGAGATGCCAACCTAGTAACACGCTTAAGTTTATGCAGTTTGGGAACCAGTGAAAGTAGTTCGTCGGAGCAGTTGCCATGAAAATACTTGTAGAAAAGATAAAGGGAAGCTACAGCACGTCTGTGAAATAGCAACTACAGACGGCGGGGGTGGGTGGCAAATCAGGACCAGCCATGTTGTATTTCCGTCTCTGGATTTTGTTGAGGATTTCGAGATGAACAGCGGAAGCACCAGACCATATATGGCAGCAGTATTCCATGCAAGGAAGAATGGTTGATTTGTAGATTTTAAAGGATAGACTCAGGCAAGAAAAAAAAACCTTCTTGCGCGACACAGAGAAACAACTTTCCTTGCTTCTTAGTAATACCGGTCATCCTGTCAAACTGTTTAATGTTATTGAAATTTTACTTCAGATAAGACACCCATCTGAAATGGAATTCCAAGCAGACAATAATAGAGCATGACATCTCTTTTCTTTTAATCGTTCACAAAAACGCTCAAAACATTTGTGCTGTGTACGGAGATGAACTTCTTCAAAACAACCAAAACAGTCAATCCTTAGCTGTATTGTGAACACATGAAGTGGCTGAAAGTAGTATTTCAGCTGAATAGGCCTGACCGGCTATACAAATAATGCTCTCCCCAACGTAGCTAACATGTCCAACCATACAATTAAAGAGCTGTGTTGAGAAGTTCAGCCACATCCATATATACACCTGATTTACCCCCTTCAGGCTACTATTTTATTAGTCAGTTTCTCACAATTAGAGGTGTATTTCGTTCACCAACGATGTGAAGCTTAAAACGTGATTTGATTAATTTTACGGATCTCAACCTAGTAATTTATATAGCCGAGCCTTTGAAACATTAGTGGATCCTTCGATGGATGTTGTAACACATCTTTGTTTAATGATTCATCTTAATAAATAATAAGTACTAAAATAAATTATTAAAAAAAACAGGAGTTTACGTAACAATCTAATATTTTGTTTGCATAAAGCAAACTTTATTTTCTGTTCAAACACCATGTTTAAATCTCTTAAAACTACTTAATTTATAGAATCATTGTAAAAAAAAATTAAGTTTTTTTACAATGAAGAAATGTTCAGGAATATAAATTTGGAGAAACAGATATATATATATTTGATAGATTTTTTTAAATTAATTTCTGTGATCTGAAAATTTGACATTTGAAATGTTTTCACACACGTATATTTTATTTTTACATTGCCAAACATGTTTTTATCAAGGAGAAACAAAACGTGTTACATGGAAAGAATATTTTAAAAAAACATAATAAATTAATACACAGCAACTTATCTTGTTGTGAGATTGTTATATGGAGAAAAGAGAAAGAAAGAACTAAATTTATATTAAGAAAAGCAGATAATATTAGTGTTATGAATAATCAAGAGTGGTCTCCTCTTGTTTTGTTACTCTCCTCTTTGAGTGAGCTATTTCTGTTTACTGAGACTATAAAAGGACACTAAGCTAACCTTGTATTCTCAGTTTCCTTAAAGCCTATGCCTGCGTACTTTGGTCATTACAATTAGATTGCATAACAGATCACCTTTTTGTTGGCTTCTCTTACAAACTGGCAATCTTCTTGTTACACTATCATAGTTAGTGGTCATTGTTTCTACTAGGTTTGATTGGAACATACGTATTCACTTCGGATTCGTTCTTAGACACTCGCTATATTCTTTTCCTAAAACTCAAAGACACTTTTATAAAAAAAAAAAACTTCTATGATGAACTACAGAATCACTGAAAAGGTTATGTTAATAAAATTGTGAAATCTGTGTGAAGAATTAAATTCTAATTAAATACGAATTTTTAATATATTTTCTGACATTAAATCATATTCGTTCGTTATTCAGATGTTCTGCAAATAATAATCTTTCGTTAGATTTTTTGCTTATTAGTAAATGTGGTTATCCTGTCAAACTGTTGTTTAACATTACTGAAATCTTATTTCAGACTAGACACACCTTTGAGATGGAATGCCAAGTAAATAAGAATGGACATGTTCGAAATCTTCTTCTCTTTGCTTTTAATGAAGCTAACAAAACTGTTCCAGACAGTTGTGCTGTATAAGGATAGAAACTACTTCAAAACAACCAAACGGGCAATGCAAATCTCCGTGTTGAACAAATGAGCAGGGGATCAAAGAGGCATTTCAGCATAAAGGACCTGGTTGGTTATACGGTGTGATTAATAAATATTACAGTTTTCGCCCCCATGACCAAATATGCAATTAAAGTGCTTGGTTGGGAAGTTCTGCTACACACAGTAAATCTACCATTTAGACTACCGCCTTTTCGGTCGCCTTTTAAAAGTGTTATGGGAACTTACCCATAATAATAATGGACTATTCCTGACATTATAAATACTGCGCCTCTCAAGAGGTATGAGGAGATTGTAAGACGAGGAGAGATAATTGAGAGCATATTGTAAGGACATTGGAATAGTGATACTTGTCAAGATAACATAGTTCACTCTAACCAAATCTGATAGTCATTACTAATACTTCTACTTCTTTGTATTATATTTCTGTTGTTATATATCTTTGTATTCCATACCTGTGTTCGTGTTATTCTTTCATTGGTTCTAACCTTGGACCATCACCGTCGTATAAGGAACTTGGACCATAACAAAAAGTTGTAAAGCTTAAAACGTAGCTTGATGAATTTTTTGAGTTGATATATGTTGAAATTTCGAACCGACGTCTTTATTTAGTGCATAGGTGTAGATTGATCTAGTTCCACATACCATGCCTTTTTTGCGGGGGAGGGATATCTAAGTTTCAGTTATTTCCCTTTAGTAACACAACTCTTCAAGTTCTTGTTCACCTTTACTGTGGACAGCTATTCTTTTCTTTAGTCCGTCCTAGGTATGACGATAAACTAGATCCAGCAGCAATGCCTCTGAGCGGGATGTTTTGATTAGCGTGGAACCATCTCTTAATTGATGTTGTTCCAAGTCCATCTTGATCCGGGATATCATCTGATAGTGAACTTCCAAATTCAGGTCGAAACACTATGAAAGTGTAGAAATATTTTTATAGTGAATGTGCTAGCAATATATTTTCATAGTAAAAAAAAAAAAATAGCAGCGATATATTTTTTATCTGATATGAATTTCGAAAGTCAGAGTTTACGTCACATAATTATTCATATTATAGAGGATTAAGGATTATATACAAGTAATTAATTGGCATAAATTCTGCTTATTCACATGATGGAAACGACACCTTATTTGCTTGCATTCGAAAACCGATTGCTGAAGATTTTATAAACTTGACTCTCCCCGAGTCTCAAACTTTTCTATGGTAACGATGAGACCAGAGGAGAGCTTTCTATATATGGAACTAGAGACATATTCCTTTTTAATAACTTTTTTTGACAAATTACTGAAGTTTTATTCGACAGTTAAAATATTCAAGATATACATAAAAAAATAATTCAATTAAAATGATGGAACAGGTAATAAATTGAATTAAATCGTCGCAACACGCCTATTTCGAAAGTTATGGTTTGGTGATTTGGTCTTTCAGAACTTTTGGGAATCATAATTCAGAAGGATGTCTGTCACTTGGACAGATGGGATTTCTTCCAGTAATAACCTGTATTTATTTTAGAGTAAAATAACTCAATTTTCATGGGGGGGTGAATTCGCTAGACTA